TTTGTTTTTCTAGCCTAACATATGTGCATTCACCAGTGAAGTTGTCCTGGCTAAAACACCTGGCACCAGCACCTGGGCATCAACCGTCATCCCGTTGACTCCCCTAGACCCCAGTACAGTGCCCTCTTCCAGAAGGAAGCAGTTAAAGAGAGAAATCTTTGCCCCTTCTCATAATAATAATCATAAGACGGGATATGAAAGGGTTTTGGTCCAGGCTGGACACTGTAGCTGGAAAAGCCTCAGCCAGAACCAAGGAGGTGCTATCTCCCCCACCCCTAGGAATTTACCTATGGTGCCAAAAGAATACCAATGGGCTACTTGTGCATCCCTAATGCCCCTCAGTCACCACCCCTAACCTAAGCTACATGTATGCGCCCACTCCACGTGTTCCACGGGGAGATGCTGTACCCCACGGGATCGGGGGTATCTCTCCCCGCATTCTCAAAATAAAGGTCATTTATATTTCATACTTCTTATCTTTTCAGCAGCCGCCAGTCCCCTACAGTTCTATCATTTTCAAAGTTGTGTTTTTATAAAAATAGCTATGCAATACTATGCTTAACTATATTAAGCCTGATGATGTAGACAAGTCTATTGAAAATAGCAAGTTAAAGCATAATACGATAGATCACCTAATATTGTGGTCTTATGTATCTTTTTCATTGCATGTTTTTCTAGGAATTTGTTTTGCTGTCTTGTTATAATTCATTTTTCCGTATAATACAGAGAGGATAGATATATATGTAGAAATTCACACATGAGAAGATTTTTTAAAACTATTTACGGGAACAGATTATATAATGCAAGATGTAATGAGCAGATACTCTGAAGAAGAAGAGACACTAAGAAACCCAATGCTAATTCTGTATCATTATGATATAAAATCTAGCAATACTATTATACACTGATCAGAGTGATATTACTCTTAAGTTCAATTACAGCATATGTAAAGATAAGGACAGCTACTATTAAGAGAATGAGAGACACTATGGTAGTTATTATTGTCTTCCCCAAAAAGCCTTCATTATCATTTGATTAGTTCTATAATATGTAGTATGTATTTAATGTGCATGAAGATTGGGACAACTATTTGGAAGAAACTAGAGACAATTAGATAAACAGTGCAAATCTCCAGTGGATTTGCTTTGAAATCTGTATTTCTTTAAATTGTTTGTTTATGAACTATTTTGTTCTGTTTTGATATATTTAATCTTACCCTCTTTAAGATAAAAAACAAGTGTGTAGGACTGATAACCATATTACTAAGTTTTTGTTGGATCATTGAGCAGAACTGTTGGCAGTGTCACTATTTGAATGTTACTTTACATACTTTAATTTTGTAACCTGAACAACTATTTCTAAGATGACAATATGTAACTTATCAACCGGAGATTTTTTACCATTTATTTTTCTGTAATTCTGTATTATTTCTACCCTTATTTATCTCCATGTATTTTTTGTTTCTTTCTCTTTAAATAAATAAAAAAAGGGAAAAAATGTTTCCTGTAAGTTTTGAAGAACGTAACTGCTGTGTAACGTAAGTTGCCAGCCTTCTCCCATTCCCTTTCTCTCTGTCTCTTTCTGTCTGTGTCTCTTTCTGTCTTTCATACTGGGGCTTGCGTGTGGGGCCTTTGTCCTGCACTACATCCCCAGCCTTTTTTGCTTTTGGGTTTAAAACAAGGTCTCACTAAGTAGTTTAATTGTCCAGCCTGGGCTTGAACATTTGCTTCCCCTCCTCCTCCTGCCTCAGCCTCCCAAAGTGCCCATCCTTCTCAGTGCTTTTATAATTTCTTTTCTTTTGGTACCAGGGATTGAACTCACAACCTTACACTTGCCAGGCAGGTGCTTATACCACCGAGCTAAATCCCCAATCCCTGCTTGGTGTTTTTCAAAGCCTGAAGATGCAATCAAATGCTTCCAGTGCCACAGGACCAAGTCTCCAGTGCCAAGACCACAGCTCTTTCAGCTTTAGAAACCCTCTTCCAGCCAACAGACGTTCTTTATTCTGAAGAGGACTTTGTTGAACCCTGAGTAGGAAATAAAATCTAAGTTATGTAAAAACAGTTTTTTTAAAAGTGCTGTAGTTACTTTCTTTGGGTCCTCTGGTATTTATTCAAAGTGCATTTTTAACAAACTGTTCTGACAGAAACTGGCAGGTACAGGTAGTTGGAGCCCAAAACAAATAACATGTTTAAAAAAAAATAAAAACACTTAGGTGCCATGCTTAAAGGGCTGCACAGGCTGAGCTCCCATTTGGCCCCTGAGCATCACCCAGCCAAACTTTCTCTATCATGGTTCCTCCTCCTCCAGGGTCAGACAGATGTGCAGAGCTGGGCTCTTCCTGTCTCTTCCCCTAACAGTCAAGCAGGGTGTCCTGCTGGCAGGGCCAACCATAGCGTAGGACATTCAAGGACAGGAGGCCTGGCTGCTTGGTGAGTCTTCAGAGCGGTACAGTGGATTCTGTCCAGCAAGAGGTTAGTAAGGTAGACCAGAAGGGGAAAAGGCAATAAAATATTTTGTTCCTGTATTTTCTTTAAAAACCTTGCAAAAAACAAAAACAAAACAAAATAAAACAAGTCCAGATGCTCTCAGAGAACTCGTCATCTGCCTGCAGATAACCCAGGTACCTAACAATGCCCATCCATGGGACCCAGCTCCATCCCTGCTGCATAGCTGGCTTAGCCTGTGAAGCCCCAGTCTGGGGTCTGCTGGGCCTTACTGCCCGTGTGAAGCCACTGCACACACCTCTCATTCGCCAGTGCTCTGGGCCTGGCCTGCTGTGAGTCTTGTGTAACTCTGGCATTTCCAGCCTTTATCTCCCGGAGCCCATGTTGTTCCAGATACCGCAGCTGCGACCTTAAAAACAGAAGCTAGGCTGGGGTGGAGGGATCCACTACCTGGAGGTGAGACCTTGGCAGCCTAAGCTGGCTGAGCCCAGGGAGGCAGAGCACACTGCACCCCTAGATGCTGGGCACTAGGCCCCATGGGGTTGGTGGAGCTGTCACATCTGCAGCCAAGACCAGAGGATGCAGGACCACCTCTCTTCCTACCTCCTCCAAGTCAGCCAAGGCCTTAGATCGGCATCTTCTGCTGCCCAGCACTGCTCATAAACTAAGGCCATAGGTGCTACAGGCCCTCCTGCTAGTGCGGGCTCCACTTCTCTGCAAGGGCCAAGGCCTGTCATCTTAGATCTTTCTGAACGTTCACAGATAGCTTCTCTCCCAACCTTATGAGTAAGCCACTTCAGTTACAGTGCTACATTCTTGGCTGCCTGTGTCTCCCCAAGTGCAGGGCCTGTTAGGGGGGAGTACCCCACCCCTTTTTTAAGGTTTTTACATGGTTGTAAGGGTTTGCTTCAGTTTTACTTTAGGTTTAGTTGGGTTTTACTAGGATTTAAGAGTAATATAATAAGTCAAAAATGCTCCCTTCCTCAAAGACATTCACATCAGACTCCAGAATTTATGAATTTTTATCCTGGGGAAGAAAAGGTTTTTGGAGATGTGATGAACATAAGCAACTGGATGGGGGCAGTGGGTCAGCAGTACCCACGTGGGCCCTTTACACAATCACATGTGTCCTTGCAAGGTGGGCACTGGAGGACAAACCACAGACACACATTTGAAGACAAGTTAGGAAGGATGTGACCACGAGCCAGAAATGCCTGGACAGGCGTGAAATGGTGAAGAGGTAAGGAACAGATTGTACCTTAGAGGCCCAGAGGGAGTGTGAGGCAGCCGACACTTTGATTCTGGAGAAGTGGCTTCCTGATACACCTGAATTCACTTGGGGAGCAAGACAGGACTTCTTTTTAGGTGACATAAATGGAAATGCCATTACAAATGACATCCTGATTTCCCTCCAAATTCTTGAGACAGTCTTCATGGCTAAGATTTTCTCTTCCTCAACTTCCACAAGGTTCTGAAGACTGCCGTAAATTTTCTTTTTATGTTGCCAAATTGAACAACAGCATGCATATTCCTCACCTGGAGAACCAGCTTTCTCAAGGGTACAGTAATTTTAAATAATTACACACTACTAGTCATTTTCTCATTGGTGGGACAAAATACTTGACTCCCACAACACACTGGAGAGTTTAGATTATGATTTCAGAGGGTTCAGTCTATGATTGGCTGGGTGGCATGGCAGAAGGACCAGGCAGAGGGAAGCTGCTCACCATCTAGCAGCTGGAGGCAGAGGAGGAGAAAGGAAGGGTTGGGGACAGCAACACGGTCTTCCAGGTGACACTCCCAGTATGCACTGCTTCTGACTAGGACCACCTCCTGCCCACACATTCAGCTGTGAACTCGTCAGTTCGTGGGTATGGCGCGTTTGTGATCATGAGCCAGTCACTGTCCAGAAGCCCCACCTCTGAACACATGAGACATTTGCGGGACACTTAGATCTAAACTGTAACAGGTACCTGAAGCCGTAGGATATGACAGTGGTGGTGAACCTATGGCACGTGTACCATAGTGACCATGCAGCAGAGTATTCTCGGTTGGTGTAAGTCAGGTTGTCTCAGCACAGCCATGTTGACTTTTCTAAACTAAAACCTCAGGATTCAGGTTTAATTGCAGTGTTGGCACTTTGCAATAAATAAGAGTGCACCTTGGGCACTTAGTCTCTAAAAGGTTCGCCATCACTGGTTTATGATGACCTACTAGGGCATGCTACAGAAAATTCCTAGACAAAACATTGTATTCATAGCACCACGACTGTACCTATTGTACAACAGCATACCTACTATAAAGTTACTCTTCAAAAAACTATTAGAAAAAGTTCATGTTTTAAAAAGTTAGAGATTTAGTTCCTACAGATCTGGATGCTGGGAAGAGCAAGCCCATGTCTGGGACAGTCTTCTTGCTGCATCACCCATGGTAGAGACAGAAAGAGAGCGTGTTCACATATGCAAGAGGACGAGGGCCCAACCTACCCTTTTCCAGGAGCCCGTCCTTGCAGTAAGAACCCCACACTAGCAGTCCCAGCATTCCTGTGCTCACCAGGGAAGAGTCCTCGTGATGTCATCACCTCCTACGGTTTCCATTTCTCGGTACTGTTTCATCAGGATTGTTTCCAACGTATGGATTCTGGGGGACACATTCAAAGCATAGAATAAGATAATTTTGATCTGAATAGCATAGGTTACAGTTGTAGTCAACAGATCTTACAGATATGGGATTATCCAGTAAGGTCATGTGGCTTTTTTCTCTCAACATTATATTCATGAGATTCTTCCATATTGAAAGATGGTCCTAGTTTGTTCTTCTTCAGTAGTGTTTAGTATTTCAGTGTTGCATGTACTGTTTCTGCAGCTAGATTTTTCCATGTTTCAATATATCTCAGAGAGGTCTCTGTGTTCATGATAAGGATAAGGAGTTTCCTTGTCTCCTCCTTATGTTAGTATTAGCATTCTACTGTGTAGATGCAATGCCAGTTATTTTTCACTTGTCCTGTACGATAGACATTTCATAACAATCTGTATTTAAAACTCATCCTTCCTTGTAAAATAAAACAAGAGCTAATTTCATAGTGCTCTCAATATTATAAAAATATTTTCAAAGAACATCACTTAGCGATATCTTACTTTTAAAAATATTTACTTGGAACAAACATACTTAATTTGCAGAGGAATTAGATCCAGTGAACCCCAAAGTCCCCCAAATGAATAAATGACTCCCATGTCCCAGAAGACAAGAGGAAGGAGGGTTGCTGTGGAGCCTGAGAAACAAGTTCGTTCTTCTGGTCCCACAGCTGAGGCCAAGCCCAGGCCATTTGCCTTACTTGTCAGCCACAGTGGTTTTCAAGTCCCTGGCTGTGTAACCAGGATCAGAGAAACTTGTTACACTATCTCCACCTCATGAGGAAGACCTGAAACCTTCTGTATTTGGGTCATAAACATTTCAGCAAGAACAGAAAGTCTGGGGCTGGGGATTTAGCTCAGCGGCATAAGCACCTGCCTTGCAAGCAGGCAGTCGTGAGTTCGATCCCTGGTACCAATAAAAAGGAAAAAGACAAAAAAAAAAAAAAAAAAAAACAAAACCAAAAAACAGAAAGTCTCAGTGTCTCAGGAGACATCAATAAGATATCGTACTCCTTTGAAGCCACCGTAGGAAGCTGTTGAGTAATTTAATAACAAACCTATACTTCAGACACAAACAATTATTGTGGAATAAAAATGTTCACCTATGAGTTTTGGTGTCAGTTGCTTTCAAATTACTTTCTCTTCAAATTCATTAAAAGTGACAGGTCAGATTTTTTCCCCCTGAACAGCAGGATTGAAATTAACCAACAGCTTCTCATGTACCGTCTTTTACATGCGCAGATGAGTCATTAATTCAAAGACACTTTGATTGTCTCTCCAGTTCACAGACAAAAGGTAGTTTTACTACAGTTCTGAAATAGTAAATCTCATGTTTATTGTGCTTGCTGACTCTTCTGGAGTGGTAAAATAAAATTCTCTGGTTTGAATTTTTGTTGCTAAACTCATTTCTAATAGGGACGGTGTTTTTTCAGTACTGGAAATTGACCCAGTGCCTTGCGCATACTAAGCAAGTACTCTACCATTAAGTTACATCCTCAGTCCTTTGTATTTTTAAATTTGATTTTTGAGTAAGGTCTTGCCATGTCGTTCAGGCTGGTCTTGAGCTCACTTCATAAGCCAGGCTCATGGCAGTCTTGTCTCAGCCTCTCAAGTGTTGGGAATACAGGCGTGCTACTGCTTTATTTTTGAGAGGGGTAATATCAAGCTGCCTAGGCTGGTCTGGAATTTGTGATTAGCCTCCTAAGTAGCTGTGGTTGTAGGCACGCCTCACTGTGCATAGTGAAAATTGTTTTTGCTGTGAATTTCTCATGAACACCGGTAGTTTCTTATATAACTTTACTGAACTCCTGAAGGTTTCAGTGGCACTGATCAATTTTTGTATTAATTTGTCACTTTATATGATTATGGTTTCCTACAGCAGACAGGTAGCATAATTCTCAGGTTTTTATAAGTGACATATTTTATAAAAACCCAAAATCTCAGACATAAGGAAAGCAGAATTCATCTCCCTGGCATGCAAGGAAGAATTTTTCTAGGTTATGATTTATGAACAAGGCAGCTTCAATATTCCAAGATTTACTTGGAGTCCAAACTCTGGCTCCCTTATTCTACATATGTAACGTGCAATCAGAGAGGGAAAAGTTAAGGAAGGAAGGTATACTTCCCTGGGTCAGACCCCACATCCTCACAGGAAGTGAACTACAGCCCTCCCACGACTGAGTCACCTCCCTCAGCCCTGCCTATGAGGCTGTGGTCTTTGGGGTGACTCTGACCCAAGCCATAGCAGCCATCAGAGGTAATTTGCTACAGCTCCCCAGAGAGCCACCAGGAGGAGAGGGTAGATCCACTTAAAGGGCCATGTGAACAGACTGCAGGCTGAGTGGAAGTGGACAGGGAACATCTCTGATTCTCCAGTGTGGTTACAAGGTCATTACCTACTTTAACTACAAGAAAGCTAAACCTTGAGATTGGAGAAACATTTGCTCCCTGGTTCTATGTGGACTCCCACATCAGAGAATTTAGATACCCACGTTCGTTTGGCTGGCTGCATTGCATGAATAGCATATAATTTATTCTGTCCATCCCAGTTGATGAACAGCCAGGTCACCACCAGGGTTTTACTGTTACAGACAGCATAGTGGGGGAGATTTAGGAGAGGCTTCTGAACTCTTAGGTGATTGGGATAAATTGTAGCCATTGAATGACTATCAAAATGAAGATGTATTTAGAGTGTTGGCACACAATAACAAAGTATCTAAAGGAAAACTTGTGACAGTTTTTTGAATTGGGTACTGAACTCAGGACCTTGGCCTTGCCAAGCAGGTGCTTGTGCTGCTGAGCTATATCCCTGGCCCAAATTTGTGACGATGTATACAACTAATAAGAATGTGTTTTCCTATGTCCTTGCCAACAACGTCCATCAACAACTTCTGTGTGAGTATGTGGGTAAGGAGTGATGCACTTGAGTTTTCCCCCTAGATTTATTAAGGTATAGGCATTGAGGTGTATTTAAAGTTCTGTACATTTACAGAGTATAATACGATGATTTCATAGAAATATGCATTGTGAATTATTCAGCACAATCAAGCTAATTAATATATCCATCAAGCAACTACAGGGCTGAGTTGAGGCCTCAATTTTTCCTTTTGGATAGTTCCTTGGACTTTGTCTGGTTACATTAAGAAGGCCTTTTTTTCTGTTATCCTTTAGTAGTTTTAAGGCTTCAGGTGTTATGTTAAAGTCTTTAATCCATTTCAAACTGAATTTTATTTATTTATTTATTTTGATACCAGAAATTGAACTCAGGACCTTGTGTTTGCCAGGCAGGCACTGCACTGCTGACCTATGTCCCAGCCTTAATTGAATCTTAATATAGTATATGAATCCAGTTTTGTTTTTCTACAAATATCCAGTTTTTCCAATTACTTTTATTGAAGAGACTCTCTTTTTTCCACTGTATATACTTGGTACCTTTTTGATCCGTTCAACATAGATGTGTAGATCTGCTTTCTTTCTTTCTTTCTTTGTTTCTTTCTTCCTTTCTTTCTTTCTTAGAGTGACAGAAATCAAACTCAGGACCTTGCACTTGCCAGGCAGGCACTGTGCTGCTGAGCTATTCCACAGCCCCCATATTTCTGTGCTTTCTATTATGTAAAGTACATAGGAAAGTTCCCTAATGCATCAAGTTAAATCATCTGAAATCAAGAATTTTAATAGTGAAAAATAGTAAAAAATGAGTAATAGTATAAGATCACTTCAAATGGCAAGTAAATATAAGTTTTCTTATTTTTGCAAATCTGAGAGGATAAAAATAATAGATATTTTTAACTCAATACAGCTACTATCCAATTAAAACAGTTCATCTGTCACCCCCTTCCCCATAAGCAACCGGCTGATCTAGAGCAACACAGGCTGAGATGATAGCTACTAAAGTTAAAAACACACACACACACACACAACTTAATGCTTATATTGTCTGACTGACTTTTCAGGCCTAAAGCTGGGAGTCTGAGCATCTATCTAAAGGATAACCGTGTGCAGTATAGCAACTATGGGAAATCCCCTTCTGAAGGTGTTAGCCATTGTTAATCCCCATTATCTTGTAAAGTCCTGTATTGTTTTCATTGTTTTATTTGATTTGGTTTTATTCTGTTTTGTTTGATTTTATTATGTCTGATGGCATGCGTAGGTATTTTAAAGATAAAATATATTGTGGTAGCCACTGTTGATTTCCTTTTATCTTGTTTTGAAGCCCTGTATTGCTTTCAATGTTTTGTTTTGATTGGTTTTATTTGGTTCCATTTTGTTTTACTTTATTATATCTAATGGTATGGGCAGCTATTCTGAAGATAACAAGAAGCATTATGAAAGCCACTGTTGATTTCCTGTTGTCTTGGAGTCCTGTATTGCTTTCACTGTTTATTTATTTATTTATTGGATTTGCTTTATTCTGCTTTGCTTTGTTTGGTTTTATTCCTTTAAAATAAAAATAAATACATCCAACAGGCTAGTATTGAACTGTAATTGGGCTTTGTTTCTTGAGATAGGGTCTCCCTGTGTTCCTTAGACTGGCTGTGAACTCACTGTGTAATCCAGACTGGCCTCAAACTTGTAGCAATCTTTCTGTCTCAGCCTACAAAGTGCTGGGATTATACATGTGTACCACTGTGCCTGACCAGGCTAAGCACCTTAATCAGTGGCTCGGAAGGGGGATTTCAGAATAAATGAAACATTGAAAGGGTAGAAATTATTCAGTAGGTGGTGTCCCAGGTCACTGGGAAACAAGTATTTGTTGATAAACAGTGCTGGGAAAATGAATCTTTAGTGAAGAAATAATGCAAACTTACAGCTTGTTTGGAGGTTGTAGCAGGGGAACACAGCTGTTCATGTATCCTTGACAGAGGAAGCAGCCCTTCGCCATCTGGGGTGTGCATAGACAGCTTTGGAGGGATGACTGTACATGCAGTGCTGTGAATGCCTCACCATTCAGATCAGCTGAATCAATCCTGGTGATCAGTGGGGTAACAGGTGTCACAGCCAGAGTGCTTTCACATCCAGTGCAGACCTAAAACCCATGAATTACTAGAAGAAAGCATTGGAAAAATTACTCCAAATATCAGTGTGGAAAAGGTCATAAGCCCTTCATTCATAAAAGAGAATATCAAATGATTAAAAATCTCGCATAGAAAAAAATACCTCTAACAATGTAAGAGGACAAAACAAAATCCAAACAAAATCCAGAAATGTAAAAAGAATTAATGAAGGGTATGAACAGGCAGTTGACAGAAAAAGCATTCAAAAATTGGAAGGGACATGACTTCATTCATCATTAAAGATGTAGAAATCAAATTATTATTTTTACCTGTCTTATCAGCTTAGTGTTATAATGCTTGATTCTTTTTACTACATGTATATTTCTCATTCAGTAAAATAAAATTTATGCAGGCAAATTTCCAAGATAAAAATAATCAGATGACAGTTGACTTTTAAAACCAGATGCCTGGTCTCCTACCAAGATAAGTACCCTAGTTTACTTGAAGTAACATGTGCGGGAAGTGGGATGCTGAGAGGGGGCAACAGGGGATTAAGAAGAAACAAGAGACATAAGAGGAACCCTGGGAGTGAGGGGGACCTGAACTCTGGCAGAGAGGCTGTGACAACATCCCAGCCCCAGCATCCTTATTTATATAGATTTTTTAAGAAGGGGGAAAGTGTGCAGTGGGATCCAAGTGTGCAAGGTCTCAGTATTTTGCTGAGAATACTGAAAGCCAAAACACTGTCAGAGCTATCTGTGCTATAGTTAACAAGGCAGAACCCCAAGGCTGGACACCTGTTGATGTGCACCTGAGCTAGAGGTCAACTTGCTCACGCAGACTGCCTCTGGCATTCTTTGTCCTTGGGACCAGCTTTGCTCTAGTCTCAAGGAGTTTGCCAACCTCTAGCTCAGCCACATGCAACAGCTCCATATTCAGTTGGAATTGGAAGAGCTGTGTTTGGAGGACTCTATAGAAGACTACCTTCTTTGTGGAAGGCTTATCTTTTTCTCTCTTCCTCTGATTTTACAATGAAGTTTATTTCTACAAAAGTTTTTTTTTGTCCTGAACTCTTTTTACTCTGAATGGACTTACTCATTCAGGTTAGAAATTCCCAGTCCAAGGATTTTAGGCCCCTGAATTTAGTAATTTAATCCCATACAATCCTTTAACTGGTAATGATAGTCAGTTATCAGTGTAGCTGGAAATCGTCAAAAAGTATCAGTGATCTGAGTTTCTTTTTATAGCTAGCTTATTACTATGGCTTTGTTTCATATATCTTGTAGTTATATATTTTGGTGGATGTTCAAGACCAAGTTAAAGTGAGATTTATATTAATTAAAATTAATCTCTTGCTATCTATCAAGGTCGGTTAAGTCTCCTCAGGAATGATCTTGGAACCAAATACAGCACCCCTCAGTTCTTTCTTCAGTATTAGCCATCTGGATGAGACACAGATCCTGTTTGACCAACTTGTTTTCCGTGAAGGATTGGAACACCTTTCTCTCCTGGTGACTCTTCTTAGGCATACCATACACCAAAGACCTCCTTTCTCTGTTCTAACAATCTCCTTGGTCAGAAGACTGTATAACTCACCAGAGCTGAAGGATATCACTGAAAATGTTTTCTCATTGACCTCAGAGGGCTGCGGTCAAAATATTGGCTGTCCTCCTAGCCCATCTATCTTTCTAAGTTTTGGTTTCCAAACCTCAATCTTTGAACATCCAGAGGAGAAGGTTAATGACATTGTATTGTAATGGGAGCAGTAAACTCAACTATTATAATTTTATCTGAATACCAAGCACCTTAAAATATAAGTTATAGCCAGAGAACCATTATTTTTTACCAACCATGCATGCTCTAGTAGTTGAATCCTGTCATGGTTTATGTCGGTGGCCCCCAGGCTTCATGTGTTTACATTATGCATCTGTGATTAGTTCATTGCCTAGTGCTTGGACTGGGGGTGTAAGTGCTACACCAGCCTAGGGGTGGAGCCAGGATGTGATGTAATGGCAGAAAGAAGGCGTGTCTTGCTCTCTTTCTGGTTTCCGCCTTGCTGTTTGCAGCCGCCATGAACTATGGCCCAGGCATGCCTACCTGCCTTGGAGCCAACTGACAATGGACTGAAACCTCCAAAAACTGTAAGAAATAAACCTTTCCTTTCCCAACTCAGTGCATCAGGTATTTTGTCTCAGCGACAAATAAAAAGTAACTAAGACAAATCCCCATACAATGTTAACAGACACTGGTTATATAATTTTGCAGAGGAAAAATTGAGATCAAAAGTCACACATAATATTCCAGCATGACAATCATGATGACATTGTTGTAGCACACTTAAATTTCCATTTTGATATAGAACAGCCTTTTTAGTCTCTATATAGTACATAAGAATCTCTCACCTAATTTGTTGCCTTTTAATGGGATGTCATTGAAGTGTGTGACATTTTTTGAACTGTTTAATATCTAAACGTTTTTAAGTATAGTGGCACATATACAGCATACATTTCAGATGAGTTTTTGTTAAAATATTATTATTGACTGGTGATCTCATTTTGACTTGACATGAACCTCTTGTCACAAAGAGCTGAAGCTCAAGAGAAAGGCAGATGTCTAAATCTGAAAGAAAAGGCTTATCATCATAAATAATCAGAAGTTTTACATTTTAAAAGTACATCTGAAAGCATAAATGCATTTACTATACCATGAGATTGTCAACAATCATCACAGTCATATGAAAACTTTTGGTTTTTATTTTTGTTTTATACCAGAGCATCTTCCAATCCTAAAACCTTATTGTCTTATTTTTAGAAAACTTTTTTTTTGTTTTTTGTCTTTTTCCTTTTCATCGGTGCTGGGGATCGAACTCACGACTACCTGCTTGCAAGGCAGGCACTTATGCCGCTGAGCTAAATCCCCAGCCCCTATTTTTAGAAAACTTGACCTTTTGATAATGACCAGTGTAAACATATCAGAATAATATATTTTGAACAGAATTTTTGGGGTAGCTCCCAAAAATTGGAGCCTCCCATTGATGAATAAAACCTGGATAATTGGTGCTAGGGGTTTAGCTCAGCAGTGTAAGTGCCTACCTGGCAAGTGCAAGGTTATGAGTTCGATTCCCAGTACCAAACAAACAAACGAGCAAAACAAAACAAAAAGATGGATAAGTATTCTAAGCAGCTAATTCCTTGTTCACCAATTGGAATCCTGTCCAATAATCTCTCCCTACCATGAGGTTTTTGTTTAATTACCTTAAAAATTTGTAATGCATTATAAAAACAGCTCATATGACTCAACATTATTTTTGATTGAGAGACTCTCAAGTCATAACATATAAACAGCAATATATATTGTATTTATGAAATCAATTTTAACATTTTGACTAGCTGGCAACTTTGGTGAAAACATATCAAATAAATGCTTCAAAAAATCCAAAAATGCAAAAAGAAGAAAAAATTGTTGAGCTCAAATAAAACAGCTGTTTATAGACTGGACACAGACAAACAAACAAATATGCATAAGAGAACTCTGTTTATAAAATCAGAGAGCAGTCAGCTAGGGATCCCTGGTACCGATAAAAAGGAAAAAGACAAAAAAAAAAATCAGAGGGCACTCAAAATATATTGGACTAGTCAGAATTACTTGTAGGTGAATTAGCAGAGATCTCTTTGAGAAGAACTTAGAGGAGTAAAACCTTTTATCTATTAATAATCTTTTTATTTTGTCTTAAAATAGGCAACTTTTTTTTATGTAGTGTTCAGCTCAGTTATTTCTATATACTTGGTCACATACTTAGACCTTTCTTCTTTTAGCAATATATTCTGTAAGACTTAATATAACTCAGGTTAATATTATCACTTGTATAGACTCCCATTTGTTGGTACCTTTGACTTATCTTTTGCCAGGGCTATGCTCTGCCTTCCTGCTCCTCGGTGGCTAGAACTACACCCAGCTTCTTGTCAGCTGCCAATGCTGCAGCCATTTAATGTAAGAGTGGGTGCATACCCAAGAAAGGGTAGATGCAGATGCAGGGTGCACAGCCTATGTTCTCCACTGCGGCTGACATAATACAAAACAGGCATTTAGGTTTTCCACTTCCCTTGTCTAGGCCAGACTCCAGGCTTGGCAGCATCGGTCTTTGGTTTTTGTCTCCTACAGCTGACTTGTGCAGATTGGCCCTGTTCTCTGCCCCACCCAGGGGTCTGTGACAAATGGTTGTTGTACCCCAAAAATGAGCCCCCAAAATGGTGTCCAAAAAATGGGGCAAGATGTATTTTTTAAAGAAAAAAGAGTACTTTTTATTTAACTTGGCACCAGTGACACAGTGTAGTTGGAGTTTGCAAGGCTGTGTAACTTGCTTAAAGTTTTGACAGACTTTTATAGAAAGTATAATTAAGAAGACCTTTGTTTCCCTTTGCTTGAGGACAGAGAAGTTTCATAGGAATTTACAATCTTTTGTCAGCTAATTTTAGCACTTAATTTTAGATAACATCTGTCCTTTGCAGAGGGGAACAGTGGTTAACATATCAATCTGGTCAGATTCCCAGGAATTTACAGTCCTTTGCAGAGGGGAGCAATGGTTAATAAATCAATTAAGTCACCAGGAAGATGGCACGTATACAGAACAATTTGACAGCTACAGCTACAGAACAGTATGAACACTACAGCTATTTTATAACAATGTGGTTGGTGCCCCAGGGTGTCTGGTTGTTAAAAATAGTTGTGTTCATGAAAGGAATTAACAGGTAATTTGGTCATATAACTTGAGCATTGGCAAACATAATACAGGGTGACAAAGCTCTTTTTGCTAGTGTACAGCATAGTGAGAGGAATGGAAAGCAGCAGTCTCTTACTTTAAAGTAACCCTTACAAGTCTGTAGAAGTCTAAACAGATTTGTGGTGGTTTGCTTAGAAAAGGGGGAGATGTTCCAGATGTATAAAGTAGCCAGTGTTTCCCTCTGCCTCTACCCACCCTCAGAGCCAAGCACTTCTGTAGGAGACATCTACTTGACCTGCTCTTGGCAGGTTCACACTGGCAGTATTGGTAGGCCCAGCAGAAGGTCAGTGATTCTTAGAAATGATGGCGACATCAATGCCAGTGTCCAAAATGCCTTTGGAATTTTTCCCATCTATCTTTGTAGCATAAGTTCAGGCCTTTCCTGTTTGACAGATTTAACTCAGCATGCTCCGGAAGACCCCAAACCTGCATCACCTTGAAGTTTATAGAGTCCTTCCCACCTTTACAGATGGAGTTAGCACTAACAGAGCAATTCTATTTTTTGGTAACACTTGAATAATTTATTAGTGGCATTGGCCATAACTTTTAATTCTCCAGTGTAATCTGAATCTATAACTCTCAAGATAACATGGAGTCCTTTTCAACTAGCACTGCTGTGTCCCAAAAGAATTCTACAGTCCCAGAGGGCAGGGGATGGCAGTCTTCTGTAGGGATCTCCTGAGTTCCCATCTCTGGAGCCAAACGAGAGGGGGGCAGAGGTCCAGTCCTGCATTGCCTGGTGTTGCCCTGTAGAGACTGCACATCGAGCGCTTTCCTACATTGGCAGAAAGGACTGGGAACTCACCAAGGAAGGTGTCCCCACTGTTTGTGCCACCTAAACTGGCCTTGTGAGGTATTTCGACAAAGGATTGCCATGACTGTCGGTTTTAGACTGGCACTCATTAGCCAGCCCCGTGGCATCTCTAACGACAATGAGGGCAAATGCCAGGGGGGTTTTGAGCCTCTATTGTCTTGCTTTTTGGTTATTACCCTAGCAAGAATGTTGATCTCTTGCAAAGTCCTTTTCCCCCACATGCAACATCATGTACCTTTTGATTTATTACTGTTTCCTTTAAAAACCCATTGTATTGCAGCCACTAAGGTGATACCCTGTACATAGGCTGGGCCAATTTCTGCACAAATCTTGATCATGTCTTGTATGGAGGCTTTTTTTCTATGAGATCTTGACACCTTATTGCAATATTTATTAGTATTTTTAAATGTCAGTTGCTTTGCAAGAATTTGTCCTGCAGTTGAATCATTTACTGTTCTCCCCACAGCTTGTAACAGCTGGGTTACAGACATTTGTAAAACGTTCTTTAGGACCTTGCCTAGTACTAAAAGGATCAAGAAATTTCTCACCTGTGGTGGGCAGCTCCTTCCATGCTCAGATTCTGGCGATACTGATTTGTTGGTGACACTGGATGGTAAAAGTTACTTGTTTAACTACCCCCTCAAATTGTCCCATCCTTGCTAACATTTCTAAAGTAACCAGGCATTATGTGGCCTGTTTTTAGCTGCCTGCTCAGCATACAGCTCTGTCCAATTCATCTTCCACATTAAACAGTCACCTGGTGCTAGGCAGGCTGCCTATCGCCTAGAGCCAAAACATCTTTAGCATCCATGTCAAGAAGCCCCATGGTAAATGGAGCTGTAGGGCGTACATAAATACTGCTGGCTTTAGTTCTTTGAGTGTTTTAAAGGGGATAACCCGATATTCTCAAACAAACTGTCCTGAGTTCTGGGGGTAAGGTCTTTTAAGAACCAAATCTTTAACACTCCTTTTAGTCTCTTGTAATGCCTGTTGAATTGGGGAGAGAAGGGGAGCTGTGGGTCGCCAGTGGAGACCTACGTTTACTTTTGATTTCACTGCTGCTGCTTCTACTAATTTAAGCACAGCCATTTGCAGCACAATGGACCCTTCTTCCTCATCTTCTTCTTTAAATGCTGAGCCAGAAGTTTCATGTGCCTCCTGATTGTAGCCAGGGAGCCACAAATCAGGTTTGCACTGAGCTTCATATGGAGGTGCAGAGGTGATTTTAGTGTCTTATACCCCTGAGCTGCATGGTGTAAATACTCCTTTGTGGACCTACTGCAGCAGCCATTTTTCATTATCTAGGTGTTGATCCAAACACTTTCTCCCACGAGTTCCTAAGAAAAAGTAAGGAGGGGAATCTTATCTGGCTCCTTGTCAGTATACCTTGATCTTAACTGTTTTCCCAGTTTTTCTCAAGTATATAAATCTGGGAACCATAACCAAGTCTCTTGAACAAACAAATTATTTAGCAAGCTGTGTAGTCTTAATAGACATCTCTCTAACCTTAAGCAAAGCTTTAAGCATTTTAATATACTAAGAACTATCCTTAGATCCTGAATTCCCATAGTTTTATACTCAGTGCACTACATACCTTAATCAGTTCCAGAGTGTCTGTCTCTTCGTTTCAGTTTGCTGAGTTACTCCAAGCTCAGGCCCCACATTGGGCACCACCTACCGAGACCTGTTCAGGAAGCAGGATCCTGAGAGGGTGCAACAGGCAATTGAGAAGAAACAAGACACATAAGAGGAAAGCTGGGACTTGGTGGGACCTGAACTCTCTGATATAGAGGCTGTGACAACATCCCAGTCCCAGCATCTTATTTATATAAATGTTTTGAAAAGGGGAAAAGCATGCAATAGGGCTGAGAGTGCAAGGTCTAGGTATTTTGCTGAGAATACTGAAAGCCAAAACACTGTCAGAGCTATGTGTGCTATAGTTAACAAGGCAGAACACCAAGGCTGGACACCTGTTGATGTGCAACTGTGTTACAGGTCAGCTTGTTTACCCAGTCTGCCTTTGGCATTCTGTGTCCTTGGGACCAATTTTGCTCTAGTCTTGAGGAGTTTGCCAACCTATGACTCAGCTGTGGCTCAACCACTTCCCACAAATTTCCCCCACAATCTTATGTAATTTTAAGACCTTTTGAGATTCTTTGCTAACTGAATTGTTCTGCTGTAGAAAAAACTACAGAACAACAGAACATAGGCCTTAGAAGCGGTTAGACTTTCTTATCCCATGTCTTTCTTCTTTTTCTCTGTTCCCCTAAAGAAGAAATGATTGAATAAAATGTTCAAATTTTAGGATGCATTAACCTGGCACAGTGCACATGCCTGTGATCTCAGCACTTAGGAGACTAAGGTAGTTTTGGTGCAAATTTTAGGCTAGTTTGGGATACACAGTGAGTTCAAGACCAGACTGAACTGGGTAGTAAAACCTGTCCTAAAAACCTTAAGACTCTAACTGGATCAAATTCACTAGTGGTCACTATGTATTAAAATGCCGCTCACTTGTGGGTAGAGTAGTTAGAGTTCTTTTCGTGTTCTCGTTCTTCTCCATGCTGTGGAACTGAAAGGCATGGGAACCATTCCTAGTATGTGTGCTGTCTTTCACCTGTCTCTGTCTCATCCATGTTGCAGAAAAACAAGAGGACATACAGCCTGCTTCTCCCAGTGCTGCCCTGCACAAGTCCAGCTGCTCCTCTTCTCTTTCCTTGTTCCATTGTGGAAAGCTCCTGCTCTATTCTCATTTTCAGACACACAGGCCTCTCCACCCTTTCCCAGCAGCATCTGGGCCAGCCCAGTACCAGGAAGTGAAAGCAAGCATTTTGCTTCTGGCTGTTGCCTGTTCCTTTTGGTTCTCAGTGTTTCTCACTCCTGTGTCCTGGTTTGTTGGACTGAAGTTTCTCGGTCCTCATCAGATTAGGAAGAAAAGACTCATCCGCGCGTCTAGTTCTGCTCACCCAGTTCTACTCACTGAGTTTTCAGCCCAGATCCAGTGGGCAAATGAAGGGTCCCTTGATTCTGCAGGGCTACTGTCCTTAGTACATACAAAAGTTACAGTTTCTGTTCAACATGTCTCACTGCCTCATCATGACACAGTTGGAAAATCATGAGTCTAACCAGCATCAGCCAGCATCAGCCAGGGACATCTGTGTTCTGATGCAAAGTGCTGGATAGGGAAGTGCAGTGTGGGACCTGGAGTTCCTAGATCCTCCACTTAACACAATTCCATCCTCCTTTGACATACGGGTACTGCCATGGTTTAGGCTCTTTATTTGCATGTCAGAGATCTTTGTATAGTGAGAGATCAGTGAGCTAGAAAAAAACCTCACTATTGTGCATTCTCAATGGGAAGTTAAGGATACCATAGAAACAGTCAGCTATAGGGGAGGCCTTGCCAAGCTCTGTAGTCCAGGATTTGGCCCTAGAATTGTCTACAGATCACTAGATGCCAGAGGGGACTGGGAGACTTCATTGAAAGGTAGGACTTCAACTGAGCACTGTGACTGAACACGTTGAGGAGCCCTGGGAGAAGGCAGGCACAGTCGTCAGCTCTAGGGCTGTCCAGACACTGGTGTGAAGGATGTTTCTGTTTTCATTCTGTAAATGTAGCACATTTACACTGGGATCAAGGGAGTCTGAGGAATGAGTGGTGTGGGCAACATAAATTTCTAAGCAGTGGAAACCATGGTCAATGAGCATGGCATTCAAATACTGAGTGTCTCTACTGTTCTGGGACACAAGAGGAAAGGTGCCAGCCCTCAAGAGGAGGGAACGGCAAGTGTCCAGTGCAGCCTGAGTGGGCTTCTAGCAAGAGTTTCAGTCCCAGCAGGGGACAAGGCCCAGGCCGTGAAAATTGGGTAATTTTTATGATTGATAATTGCGAAAATAAATACAAAGTTCTTCGGAAACTGAGGCATACAGAAGAGGAATTATAAATTGTTTCTTATATCAAATGACATGATTATATAACCAAACTGCTTTTGCACTACTTGCATGATTTATTATGGAGTAAGTCAGTAGTTTGACACAGGAGTGTTTGTTTCTGCAGGCCATGTCAGGGCATCTGGTGAGGTTCTGCATCTCACATCAACCAATAGATGGTCCAGGGGAGAGCAGAAGACGCAGGACTTCACACACAGCTGTGCCTGCTGTCAGTAACATGCCACAGAGTTCTGTCCTGAAGACCAGGACTTGAGTTCATTTGTATTTGATGAGATTTCCATCAAAAAAGAAATATTCATTATGATTATGTTGTAACTAAGGATTATATATGCTTACTCTCAAGCATTTTGTTTTGTTTTTGAGACAGAGTCTCACTATGTAGTTCAGGCTGGCCCTGAGCTCACTTTGTAGTCCATTCTGCCCTTGAGCTCATGGTAATACTCCTGCTTCAGCCTTCTGAGTGCTGCTGGAATTGATATAGGGGAATGAAACTCCTGACCTGCTATGTCCGGCACGAGCTCTAAAATCGAAGAATGAATTTTAGGAACAACGGAGGTTAAGAGCAGAATATATTTATTGAGAGAAAGAAAGCTTCTGTCTGAAGAGGGACAGAAGGGATCCTGAGCAGGACTCGGTCTTTTCCAGGGACTTTTTATAGAGTAAAACCGTGGGTTCAAGGTGGGGGAAGACTTGGAACTCACAAGGCAGATGGGCGTAAAGTGGGACATAACTATAGTTAGCCAGTAAGATCAATAGTACAGGTACAATAGATTACATTAGGGACAAATGGGGAAGTGAGCCTTGTAGAAAGCAGGCATTCTTACAAAGCAGTGACTCTTCCTTAGGGGGATGGGAACTATTTAGGGTATCAATCCTCAGGATATGGGTGCATTTGTATCTTTTGTCTTGAGGCCTGGCCCACAGCAGGAGGCATCAGTCTCCCCTGCAGTTGCCAGGTATCTGCACTGGCTCCATTGAAACCTAGTCCTGTCTCACTGCCTGTAATATTTTTAACTAACTCAGCTGCCTGCAACAGAATTACGTACCACCACACCCAACTCCAGCATATTTCTGATAGTCACTTGTGTTTGAACTAGGTGTCGGTAAGGACCACGTATGTCTTTCACTACACGCCCACGGCTGATGATCAGCACTTTCTGAACAGCTTTCTGTTTCATGTATTTTAAGCCTATTTCTCCTCCACCACTGCCATGTGTTTCTGGTGCTGGGGCCTGTGGAATGTGTTCATATCACACACAGGGCCTTGGCCCCGCACCAGATGAGCTGGTGCTCAAGGTTAGCAGAAGCAAAGTTAGGAGAATTCCTAGGAGCCATTTCCACATCAGGAGGTCTAGAGAAAACCTAACTGCACCTGGGTTGGCTGCAAATTGGAACAATGTAGGCTACTCAATCCAAATTCATTATATTCCCAATTCATCTTCTGCTTAGTTAAATATCAAAAATGCCTACCGCCAAATTGTCACCACTCAAGTGATGGCAAGTCAGAGAGGAAAGCCAGTGATCTTCATTAGTTGACACTAAAATCTCTTTATTTTACAAATTTTATAAAAACCTATGGCTACGGGAAGACATTGTTAGGGCTGAGGGAAGGGACCTGGATGGGGTTGGGTATCAGTGATAGCTGATTTGCGTCAGCTTCTTCAGGCTACAGCTTGTGAGCTACCCAAGCAGATCCATCTATGATCCAGCGCAATACCCCAAAAGCTAGCCATCGTTTACAGTGCTCACAACTGTCATATTCAATGCCACATTCAATCCTCAGAGCAGCCCATCAATTGCTAAAAAGGAACTCTGCCACTGAGCCGCATTCCCAACCCGTTCTGCTTTATCTTGATACAGGGTCTTGCTAAGTTTCCCAGGCTGACCTCAAACTTGCAATCACCCTGCCTGAGCCTTCTACGTGGCTGTGATTAGAGCCATGTCCCACCACACCCAGCAAAACAGAAGGCTTCTGATGTCATGATTCCTGTTTCCACTCTACTACACCCAAAAAGGAATCCTGTGATAAATCTTTGCATCACACACATTAATTGCTCAACAAATATTTATGGGCCAACCAAAAGGAAAGAAGGTGAGCAGGAACCAAGAATCTTTTAAGCAACTAAGGAATAACAGGCCTTCCATGGGCAGAGGAAGGGGCCAGGTCCCACATGTCCAGCCAGGACAGACATGTTCCCCACATCTCTTCAATATGTGTACCTCTTCTTATTCTAGGATCTCAACTGTGGTAAACAAGGACAGAACCTAGGCGCCATGTGGTGACTCCATATAGGGCCTGGGTTCCTCGTATAACTGTGAAATGCCTTCTACTTTCCTGGGTTAAAGTGGGGAGTGAATTGGGTTTTCCTCTGGGAACTCAGGGTGCAGTGAGGAGGAGAAGATGGATGAGCCTTAATTAGGATTAATTGTGTCTTTGGTAAGTGAAGACAAAGTGTCTTGGTCTGTTTCTGATTGATGTACTCGCCTGCCAGTGAAGGCCCTTCTTGTTAGAAAAATCTACCATTTTCCAACAGACTCTACCTGTGCTCTGTGGACTGCTGACATGTGTTGCCTGATGCTTGAAAGTGCAGAGGAGGCAGGCAGGGAAGTCTGGGTTTTAATTTAAAGATCCACTGGCCTGGTGTGTGTTCCAGATGTCCTGAGGTTGGCATTAATTTCAGGCTTTTCTGCTCTGTCAGGCCTCAGCCAGAATGAGGCTTTTAATGTCAAACTCCAGCACCTGAAAGCAGACAAGGAGACAGAGAGTTGGAAATCTCATGGGCTTCTGGGATTTCTGACAGCGCAGCTCCCATCTGGCAGCTGGAGGGCAGAGAAGGGCTTGTTTAAAGCAGGTAAAATGAGGAGAGGTCTCAGTCCAGCATCCAGGCCAACTGGGAATCATTTCCACCTAGGCTCAAGCCTTCAGCAGCTTTTCACAGCCCTGGATCAGAGCCACACCCCCGTACCCCTCCAGACTGCCCGGGTCCTGGCTTCTTCCGTCCCTCTCCTTCACTGCCTGTGCTTGACCGCACCAGGGGTGCTCCTGGTGCTCCCAGGCTGTTCCTTCTGTCCAGCCTCGCACGCCATTTCCTTGGTTTCTTCCAACCTCTAAGTCTCAGGTTAGCGTCTCTCTCCACCCTCCTTCCCACTCCTGCCATCGTCTCCTGCCACCGTCCCACTGTTTCTTCCCCTGCTCCCCGGCCTCTGGCTTTTGTCTAGGTGTTTCCTTGCACATCATCTGATGTCTAACACATTGGCCTGCCAGCCCTGTGAAGATGGAGGATTTTTGTTAGCTCCCAGGGTATCTCCAGTGTCTAACCCATCACTGGTGCCCCACTAACACTGGAAAGAAAATTGTTTCCTTCCAGAAAAATGTCTGGTTGGGCTGTAAAAGATTTCATTTCATTGCTGGAGTGACGTTAGAATTCACAGCCTCTTTCCTTGCTTTCCTACCCAGGTTTGTCTTCTGTCCAGCAGGATGCGAAGACCAAATGAAGAGGGGGCCCTGCTCTTGGGTACCAGGGCACTGAGGGTGCAGATGTTTTTGCAGCTGGTAAAACAACCTGTTTCCCAAGGGTAAGGTGCACCTTCCCTGTCACATCAGACAGGAGCTGAGTCTCCCTTAAGGCAGGTACCCTGCATGCTGGCAGGCTCAGCTTCAGACGGACAGATGGATGGGAGCCAGACGCCTCCCTGTGTGTATGTGCGTGTGTGTGCGTGCGCGTACGTGCATGTGCACGCGCCAGGAGCAAGCTCAGGAGCCCTCATGGGGCAAGCTGCACGCCCTCCATCCAAGGAGCCAAGCCAGCACTGGAAACTCACTCTGGATAAAATCCCAACAACAGGCAGCCAGGAGCTGGAAAAAACAGCTCCTTCCTCAGTTTTTCTTTCTTTTTTCTTTTCCTCCTTCCCTTGGATGGTCTTCTCCTGAGCACTCCCACCCACAGTTTCCGGGAGCCTAGCACACATGTGTTGGGGTCTCCAGGGCCTCAGCACCGGAGAAGAGCTCTGCTCAGGGAGAACAGGGAGGGACAGCGGGGTGAAGGTGGCTGCAAAGGGAGCAGGCAGCAGGCCAGCACAGCCATCTTCCTTGTGAAGGAACAGTGACCCAGGAGGAAGGAAAAGCTGTGCCTTGAAAGACCCAATCAGCAGATGTAACCTGAGCCCTCAGCTGCAGTCTGGGCACTGGCCAGCCTCTGTGCCTGAAGGTGTCTGCTCTCTCCTCTGTCTCTGAAAATCTACTGTTTTCCAACAGACTTTGTCTGTGCTCTGTGGACCGCTGACACGTGTTGCCTGATGCGGACGTGTGTTGCCACCTCCTCACGGGATTAGGCCCGGCTTCCTGGTGACACAAGGACACAGGCCGGCTGGGGAAGGGCCGCTCCTGGATCTCCTCTTGAGAGCGCTCTCAGAGGCAGTTAATGGGATCAGAACTCTCAGCTTAGCTTCCCTCTCCACCCTCCGCGCCCCCACTCCCTGTTCTTATCCCAATCATGCTACTCAGTTTGCTGAGTGACTTTGGGGCAAGAAACTTGGGTTCCTCTTTTTTACAGAAGAATTTTAAAATCAAAATTGAAATTTGTTTTATGTGGTGAAGTTTTGGTTTTTGGTTTTTGAGACAACTCAGGCTGGCTTCAAACTCCAGGCAATGCTTTTATCTCAGTGTTGGCCTGCTGAGTGCTGGGATCACAAGTGCCCAGCATAGTGTAGTAAAATGTTTATGACATAAAATTTATTATTTTAATCGTTGTTTGTGTACACTTCAGATTTGGAAATCCCTTTTGGTGTCTTTACAAGGTGTGATTAAAAAGTATACTGAATGGTGCTGTCCAGTGCCATCCAGTGGAAAGATGGGCTTGTAAAGTCATTACTCTGGTTCCTCCTGTACCTCATCCGCTGGATCTGGCACCATATGACTTGCTGCTCAGCCCCAAGTTCAAAATGACCATGAAAGGAAAATGATTGAATGCATTTAGAATCAGGGCAGCCACAACACAGCAACTAAGGACCCTCAAGAAAGAGGACTTCCAGAGCCACTTCAGAAAGTGAAGAGAGACCAGAGAAGTGAGTTTGAGAACAGGAGGATTACGAGAAGGGTTAAAAGCAGTGTGTCTTTCACTGCAATACATTTTTAAAATGTAAATATTCTCTGTAGTTTTCAGGCATGCCCCTAGAGCATGGTGGCTGGCTCTCTGTGTGTATTGAATGTTTTTGCCTTGAACTGAGGTAACTAACTGTCTGTCCTGTGAGACACACCTGGTGCCACAGTCCCTGTGACAGCCACGGGTGACCAGGATGCCAAGTATGAGGTCAGACTGGTTAAAGGTGTAGGCACCAGGTAACACCCAGAGACAGCACACTTGTGGGCTTTGATGAAATTCAAGCTGTGGCATGCCCACGACCATGACCGCCCCGCTCGGGCGCCCTGCCCGGCCGCGGCTCCTGCCCTCCCTTTTCCAAGAAATGCGTCTTCCACCCTCTCCACCTGTTCCACAAAGGCTGTGAAAGGGAACACGTGGAGACGGAAAGAGCTGATCACTGTTTACTAAGACACAGTAAGAATGGAACAGGAAATGCTGCGGTACGATTGAATAGCAGGGTGGCTGCACAGTATGGCTGTGACCGTACCGCTCACACGGCTAGAGACAGGGCTTTGAAAGGTTTTACCACCAAGAAATGGCAAGTGTTTGAAAGAAATATATTTAGCATGATTTAAACATTGTACTTGTACCCAAACTCGGCATGGCACCTCACTAGGACACACATGTTTTAGTGTAGTCATCAAAAATATTAAAGACAGAAAAAGTTAAAATAACACTAGACTGAAAAAAGAAGAGTAAAAATACATGAGTTGATAAATTAGATAATAAATTGGATGAGAGAGAGAGTTCTGAAAACTTCATTTCCAATCACTCACAGAACGCTTGACATACACGTGTTTAAGCCTCTCTGGGGAGAAAGCAGAGCGAGCAGGCACCCTTTGGAGAGCCCAGGGAACACTGAGCCCCACCCCCGTCCTTGTTTATAATTTTATTCTGTTGCCCAGGCTGCCTGTGTTCTTCCTACATCAGCTTCCGAAGTCGCTGGGATTCTAGGTGTGTGCCACCACGTCCTGCTGAAAGAACAGGATGCGGCAAACGGCTAGGCCAAGATGCTCCAGTGAAAGGTCCAGGGGATGGAGGAGGGAGAAGGCAGGCTCAGATGCAGTTATTTAGGGGTGCTTCTCAGGGGAGGTGGCCTTTCAGATGGAGTCTTGGTTACTTTTCCCTTGTTGCTGGGACAAAATACCCAACACCCAAAATTAAGGAAAGAAGATTTATTTAGCTCACAATTTGTGGAGGTTCCAGTCCATAATCAACTGGTTTCAAGGCAGGGTGACGTGGCACAGGGGCAACATTTCAAGGCAGCAACCAGAGCAAAGTGGGGGGCACGCCTCGTCTCCTCCCTTATATTGGACACAGCCTCCCCTCTCCCCCGCACCAGGGCCGCTGTCACACTCACAAAATCTCTGCCCTCCTCTTGCAGGGGATGAGGATATGTGCAAAGAGTCCACCTAGAAAGGAAAGAGGAGCAACTGAGAAATGAAAAGCAGGAAACCTGTATGATCAGACCGGCATTCAGAAGACCAGCCTGGCGATGACATGTGGAATGGATCAAGGCAGAGTGACGAGAACTGGGGGATGACTTGGGGGCCCAGCTGAAGCGGGTCAGGGCAGAATTTATGAGGGAAAATTTTGGTCACGGGACTGGGCCGGGAGGCTGGGAGCAGCAGTGCATCGATGAGGACTCCATTCCTGTGCTTTACTTGGAGAGAAAATGAAGTGTGGCCTCTTCGCCTCTCCCGAGCAAACCACAGCCAACCCTCCCTGCCCCACCAGCTAAAGAGAATTTTGCTTTATTTTCTCCGCTTCCCTTTCCCCTGCCCTCTAAAGAAGATTCTGGCTTTGCTGGTTCCATGGTTTTGTTATGATATAGAAATCGAGAGAGAGAGAAGCCAGCCTGGACAGTTAGGAGGAAAGGGGAAAAAATTCCTGGTTGCTCAGGACTAACTTTTGTGTATAAAAGAGTAAAGGGAGAAGCCTAAGTCAGCCTAAATCTTAAGGATCAAAGACAGGATGACGAAAAAAGGAAAAAAAATATTAATAGAGAAGAGCTGGTAACCAAAAGGATGCAAGATTCAAAATGTGTTGCTCAAAGTATGGGTTAAATCTATTTTATTGCTAATTAATGGTTGAAATTTTGACGTGGCTGCTCAACTGTTTTATCTTTTTTTTTTATCTTTTCAAAACATTGAATCATTTTGTAGCCCAAGATGGCCTTGAGCACACAGTGATCCTCCTGCCTCAGCCTCCCGAGTGCTGGGGTTACAGGAATGCACCACCACACTCAGCTTGTTCTATTTTTAAAGAAACTTGACTTTTAAGGGTTTTGCTGTGTTGCCCAGACTGACTCTGAACTCCTGGGCTCCTGTGATCTTTCCGCCTCAGCCTCCCAGGTAGCTGAGATTACACAGGTGTGTGCCATCTTATCCAGCTTGTTTTTAAGTGTTTTGATTTAATGTCACAACATGCCAAACTGGACAGTATTGTATCCTGCCTTATAGACTAGCATGATGGTTAATGGCAAGAATTCTACAACCAACCTCCTGGATCCAGATCCTGTAACTCAGTTGTGTTGTCTGAAAAATGAGTTCACAAGATTCCACTGCAAAGCGATGTTGTGAGGATAAACTCAGTTAATATTTGTAAATCTCGTCTAAAAACTCAAATACAAAGCCTAGCATGGAACTTGCACTCTATTAACATTAGTTATTACTGGTACAGGAGAATTTGCGGCCGTGAGTTTTTTCCGCCATAGTTCAACCAAGATGGCAAAACCAATTGTTGGAGAACATCCAAGCAGAAGATTTGGGAAGGAATGCACATTCTAAGCAGCTGTCACAGGACGGTCCCCGTGATTCTGACTCCTGGGCACTTGCTCGCCCGTGTGACCTACTCCCCTTACATGTGGGCTGGATGTGGCAAGCTGTCTGTAACTGTAAGAATATGGCAGTGGTGACAGGATGCCTCTCCCACAGTTAGCTTACAGCACACTGTGACCTCACTCTTCTTAGATACCCTGGCACTGGCTTTGATGAGGTGAGCTGCCATGCTGGGGAGCCCTGTGGCCAGGAACGGAGGGCAGCCGATGGCCAACAGCCCACAAGAAATGAGGAGCAGAATCCTTCCAGTGACCTCTCAGGGAATTATAAGGGATCCAGCCTCTGCTGAAACTATTGCAGCCCCAAGAGAAACCAGGAAACAGAGATCCCAGCTAAGCCACACCCAGATTACTGATCTAAAAAAGCATCCCATAGTCAGTGGGTGTTGCTCTAAACCACTGTGTGCAGGAATAATTTGTTACACAGCAATGATGACTCATACAAACGTGTTCCCAAGTGGAAATGTGAGGACACAAGCAAGGTCCAGCTGTAGGACATCAGGATAGAAGGAGGGGTGGGCCATGAGCCAGAATTGCTGCAGAAGATGCAACTGTGGGCTACACTGGAGAACCCCACTCTGGGTGTGGATGGGCAGGGAGTGACTCAGTCTGAGCCCGGGCAGGGCAGCAGGGGCCGTTCTGGGGCTTCCTGTCCCTGGTGCAGGTCAGCTGGGAACACTTAGTTCTCATCTTGCGTCATTGGTCTCCTCACAGCATTTAAATGTGTACCTTCTGGAAACGCCTGCTTATCTTTATGGCCCCAGCCTTTTTGTTTGTTTATTATTCAAGCAATAACTTTGAACTGGGAGCCTTTCTATGTACATGTTAAATATTCCTTATTCAAAACACTGGGACCAGAGTGGTTTACTTTCTAATCTTTTTTTCAGATGTTGGAATATTTGCATGCCCAAAGAGATATGAGCATGGGGCACAAATTCATACACAGAATTCATTTAGGCTTCCTATACATCGTATTTGTGGAGCCTGAAGGTAATTTTATCAATGCTTCTGGTAATGTGTATGGAACAACTTTTTGGGTATGATATGATTTTTGTGAAATCATTTCAATGCTCAAAAGTTTCAGGTTTTGGAGCATGTGGGATTTCAGATTTTCAAATTAGGGACACTCAACATACAGTGGGAAGACACGCTGTAAATAAGTTTCTTGTGCTTTCATTCCCCTCTTTTTAACTGCTCCTTCAGCAAGGTGACCTTATGGCACACTCCCCTTAGAGCTTAGTGCTCCACAGGACACTTTGCTTGTTCCTCTTTGTTCTTTTCCCACAGTGCCCATGAGCGAGTCCAGGCTCAGAGATCCCTCCATCGCTACTGGGACCTGAAATCTGCTTCTGGAGCTCAGAGCCCCCAAGTGCACCCTTGCACCCAGCCACCCTGGTTGCGTGCATTTCACAGATATCTGAGCTCAAAATAACCAAGCCAGTCATTTCCTCCATCACTTTCCTTTCCTGTCCTGCTCAACCCTTCCCCTTCCCCAGCATTTCCTCTCCCAAATAACAGCGCCATCATTTACAAGGCAGAATACAGGAGTCATCCAAATCCACCTCTCATGGCCTCTGCCAATCACTAAGTCTTGAAGAATTCATCTCCTAAGTCCCCATCTCCCCTTCTCTGCCACCTCTGCCATGGGCTCCTTTAAGTTAGTGTCTTGCTTTCCCAGATCTGATACTTTAGCTGCTGGTTGTTCTGACTCCCATCGCCCCGTCAGTAAAGCCCGCGTTCATTAATGTGATGATTGTAGACCTTTGTGATCCGACTCTGCCACCTGTAAGCCTCTTCTCCAGCTACTTCTGTGTTCCAGCTGCACAACGTGCAGTCTTGGTGCTCTGCGCTGGCTTTCTCTCTTCTGCTTGGAAGGCCTTCTCTTGATTTTGCCCGCCAGATGAACTCCAAGACATCCAGCAAAACTCATAATTTCTCGAGCCTACTCAGATAGAAGTGACGCCTGTATTGTCCATCGTTGTCTTTATTAAAGTGATAGTGTGAAACCCTTGAAGGTAGAACTCCTGTGTCTCCCTCTTCAAGTCCAGTGCTCAGCCTTAGCTAGGTAGTCACTCTGTTGAGTGAATAAGTGAATGAAGGAATAAATGTGTAGATAAATGCACAGTCCCAGGCTGAGTCTGCAGGTGTAGAATAAACGGGCCCAGGCAGTTCCAGAAGGAGACCAGGAAAAGTGGGGCTGTTTTTCTCCATCCTTAGGGATCTGCAGCCCAGACTGTGTGTGCTGGTTCATGGACACGCACTAGCTACAGACCTTCTAATTTAGTCCGGTCAGCCTCTAGGCATAAACGTGTCATAAAGCCAAACTTGCCCTTTGAGAATCTCAAAATGTCCATACTTGGGGGATAAAGATATTCTACTTCTCAGTTAATATGGTACGTGTGATTCCCTCTGCAGCATAGGAATCGATCTAGCTCTTCCCTGGGGACCCTCATGAACTAGTGGACTTCCATTTGGTGGCCCCTGTGAAGGGAAACTACTCGTCACAGCCATCACAGCACAAAGCTCCTCACTGTGGGAATCAAGGGGAAGCAGACTGAACGAGAGACCCGTGGACTCTCCCCTGATACAGCTCACTCCCACTTGCTGTGTGAGTATACTAGGTAACACTGGCCCAAGCCTGGTCTCCAAACCCCCTCCTTACCAATCCAGCCACCTGCCCTGCTCCTCCCACAGGCCTCCCCGCCCCACAAGCTCAGCTTTCTAGCTGCTCTGCTCCAAGCCCTTTCCCTTTCCCTGCCTTGGCTTGAGCTGTGCATTCTGTGAGAATCCCTTCCTTCTTCCCCTCCTCTTTCCAAAGCTCACCAGCAGCTCAAAGCATTGTATAACTCAGTCCCCAAACAGATTCTTATTTCCATAACCACACTGTTTGCTCTTATCTCAAATTTCCACTGTCCTTTGGTGTAGAATCAAACATTTAAGTTAAACTCTTAACTGCTGGCAGACAGAACATTTTCCATTGCTGGCAGATTTCTACTCCACAAGCAAATCTCCTTGTAAAAGGGTAATTGACAAATCAGGACAGGAAGGTAATTAGGAGGGCTGACCAAACTTAATGTTGGGAGACTCCGTGGCAACTAAGTCTCTCATATATCTCTAGTGAGGGTTAAAATTTTTTGGTAGCATTAAAGGTAAATATTTATGTATCCCGTGACCTAGCAACGATATTCTTGGTATATGCCCAAGAGAAATAAATGTTTATGTCTACCAAAAGACATGTACACACATGTTCCAACTAGCCTCATTCATAAAGTCAGAAACTGGAAACTGGCAGTCTCTATTGTGGTAGCTCCAACGAGACTTTTCCCTTGAGTTTCTGGTTGGGTTGGGGTCACTGGTGGTGTGACCTGAAAGGGTGTATTCTTGTCCCCAGCTCCTCTCTTCTCTTTGCTTACTAGCTGCCATGGGCAGAGCAGCTTTCTTCTGACATGCCCTTTTGCCATGCTGATTCTGCCTTGGAGCCAGCCAGCCAACCATGAACCGAACCCTCTGAAACTGACCCAAGACAAACCTCTCAAACTGTGGTTGCCGGAGTACTCTGTCCCAGTGATAGGA